ACATTTACGCCCCTGGTGGAAATATATGTGTTTTAAGTATTTTTCACAATTTAATTATTTAGATCTGGAGAATCTGAAAGTAATGCGGAAGAAGATTGCACAGGTAAAAGCGACCTAACCCAAAAATTCCATGATAATGCTATAAGAATAAATATTTTTATAGCAATAAGGATATATTTTATTCTGTTTTTCTTTTTAATTTATAATTACTAATAATAGTGGTTGACCGATAATCGGTATCGAACCGATTTTTGCCTCATCGGTGAACAATCGGAATGAATCCGTGTGAAGCGTGCCATTTATGAACGGTTGTAACGAACTTTGGTTGCAGTAACATGTTACATTGGAAATTGTCATTAATTAAAAATTCGAAATGAATGTGTCACCTTTACTCGGTCGACTGATATTATGACGTCATTATAAAATCAGTATCGGGTAGATTGTTGCATGAATAATCGGTGATTTCCGATTGTGGCATAATCAGTCAATCACTAATTATTAAATTAACTCTTATTGAAGTTTTGGTAAAACTTGGAAATTTGTCAATTGTATTGGTTTAAAGGGACCGCCCAAGAAAGGGATCGTCCAGTGACTCATCGTCAGGAATGACTCAGGAGTGACTGACGAATAAGGACGATCACTTTCTTGGGTGGAAACGACGATAGTGAAGATCTTGAGGTAATGAAAACTATACATGTATATTATGTACTGTATATACACGAGGTTGATTGCGAGATCTATAGAATACGGACGTCAGTATAGAATATAGACTGATCTCCGTTTATAAGTTAACATACAGTACACCGTACTTCTTACTCAAAATCTTCCCCACATGAAGACATGAAGAATAAAGACGCTGGACGTCTGTACTACATTTAAAGATTTCCTCTGAAATTACTGTAGATGGCCGTTTCTAGAGATATTTGTTTCTGATCGGCTATTGTTTTAAAACTGTATATATTTGATTAAAGAAAATATTTGCGAGCAAATAGGAATTTTATGCCTTCCGTCTCAGACTTTGGGGAGATAAGTCGGTTATTACAATTGATAAGCCGTAGTGTATTATATATTAAGCTGACAGAGAGAAGAAATACCTAAGGTATTAGGTATATCTTGAACAGACTCGGTTATATATAGATAACGATTACGAAAGGGTTATAACACATCCCTATGCTAAGTTCTAAGCATTCACATACAGCTTACCGTCAAAGGAACATCACCTATACTGAAGACTATTAAAAACTTGATAACCCACCTCCTCCCCATGTTGCATCCATAGTATAATATATGTATTGTAGTTTTAATTCTAGCTTTTTATGTTTTGGCGTAATCTTGCCCTCACTTTTACTGGGCAAAACGGTTTCAGAACATTTTAATGTAGATACATATCTTATGTATTATATTTCGAAAGTCAGAATAAAGCGGCTGGGGGAATCTTTACCCCCAGCCAGATTAACCCAACAACGAGGTGAATTATTTACAGTGTTCTATTTAGTACACTGCCCAGTAAACGGAGCTCAGGAGATGCAACACTCAAGCCGATAATGCGTGTGTGGGAAGTAATGTCTTCGTGTATGATACATAGGCCTAGTTTAAGATCGTTCGTTGAGACGGAAGGCATAAATGTAAGTCACAATAGCCGATCGTTATGCTCGGGAACCTTGAGGAAATTATTTTGGTCCTTTGACAATTATAATGAAACAGTGTCTTTTAACATAATCATTTACATACGACTTTTCCTGCATATATTTCTTTCTTCCAGGACAAAGTTCTCCTAAGCGAAGTAAACCGAATGAACGTGAGCGTGATCCGTCCTTTGCCGAGATTTTATTTGACATTGATATAATTTACCACGAGAGCAAAGAAAAGAAAAGGGAAAGACTTCAAAATCTTATCAAACACATTGTTGCCCTTTTGAACTCCGCCGGTGGAGTCATACGAATTAATGAAAGTGGAAACGATGAAAAGACAATAATTAAGCAACGAGACATATGGAAGCAGGGGCTGGAACAGACTCTGGTTGATATTCTCACACAAGATGAGTACAAACAATGTATTCATTTCAATAGTGCTTCAAAGTTTCCGTATTGTTATTTGTTTGTCAGAAAGTCCAAGCGTGTTTGTACGCAAAGCAGTGGATTGAAAATACCATTAGAATGCAGCGTTAAAGATGCAACTTACAATGGTATTTTGAATATTCTTCATCAGAGCGTTTCTCAGCGTGAATCATCGTCTCTCGAAATGAGTGATGAAAACATGGAACCAGATAGTGGGTACACAGATAATAGTTCTACGTTCAGTTTCCCTGATGAGGAACATGCTGAGTTTCATTATGAAAAGAACGTTTCCTTTCATGAAAGCGATACCGTACAATTCAAGTTCATCATTAAAGACTTGCTGAAAGGCATTGATAGCCATTTACCGAACTATGTTTCTGCGTTTGCAAATCACCGTGGCGGTAAAGTGTATTTTGGCATTCATGACGATGGAACGGTAAAAGGCCAACTTGTTGAGGGTGAAGATGAGAAAAGGGAGGTTAAAGATATTGTAGAAAAGGTGATGAAAAGAAAGAACGAGAATCAAGAGATGGTCCGGATTTGGGGCAAACCAGATTTTATCCCACAATATGATGAGCAATGGACAGTGGAATTTGTGGAGGTAATTGGTAAACCAGAGGGCGAAGAAAGATGTGTGGTTGTTGTGAAAATTTTTCCTTTTGATGGAGGGATGTTTTTGGAGCATCCCTTAGCTTGGAAAGTTGATGAAAGCTCAGAAGAAATTGTCAAAATTGATTTTGTTGAATGGAGAAATTTACATGCCTCTGGTTCAGGTTCAGGTACAGTAATTGTATGCATGTTGTGTTATTTTGGAATGAAACGAATATAACTGGATATCATTGGAACGAATATCATTGAAACGAATGGAGGTAAGATCACGCGTGTTTATATCATTGACTGATTGAACGCTCTTCGCAGCGTGAAAAGACTGGGACTGTCTTTCAAGTTTGGCCTCAAATTTCCGGTTTAAGGTAGCGTTCCAGTTATATTCGTTTCAATGCCGTATACAGCTGATGAAGACTAAGTGCTAAAATAAAACGTCACATTACCATACTCCGGTTCGAAATCAGGTAATATAATAAAGGTTATAAATTCAACTACCAAATAACGAGAAAATTACTATCTAAACAGGCAATTCCCATTATTGCAATGCATCATGAGAAAAGTGGTAACCCTTCACTTGCAAGCGAAATGGCCGCCGTTCATTTTGCATGTGAGAAATACTGCTTCTTTTCAACACTTTTTCGTAGTGCTTGATAATTTTAAAACAAGAAATGTTTTCGTCGTGCTTTAAAGTCTGTTTTAACCGAAGTACAGCGAAATCGAAGCAAAAATGGACGAGAAAATGCATGTAGAACAGCCGAGAGAGCGAACAATCAGCTCACAAATGCATTCCGAGAGGGAGGTTCTTCTCAACATTTTAAGGTGAGTACGCTTAGTAGACATCCGACTGCTCACCATTTCGACCACATGTGTGCGTGTTGTTGCTCGATATGTACGTATTTTCACAACGATCGAGTGTGTCGTGTGGATTTTTTTGCTTGTTGAACTTGGCAAATTGATGTCAAAATGAACTTGGCAAATTGATGTCAAAATGTCTATCGATCATTCGATCGTCATGGCCTCCAAAGTGTGGATTTTTATGCTTGTTGAACTTGGCAAATTGATGTCAAAATGAACTTGGCAAATTGATGTCAAAATGTCTATCGATCATTCGATCGTCATGGCCTCCAAAGACAGAGTTTTTAAGGTAACCTTTAATGTTTTGGCGCAAAAGAAAATCAACCCAAACCGTTTTTTCCACCCCGGCTCTATTACTTGGTAAAAACGGCAAAACGCCAAGAAGAAAGCATTTTTCTACTTCCTTTGTTGTGGTCGGTTCATTTCCTGTCGAAGTAAACAAGTAGGTTTTTAGTGTTAAAATATTAGGCTGTAAATATATTAAATTCATAGCTATATCATAAATAAAACTGTTTAAAATTGACATAGTCTTTATGCTGGCTCGGAAAAAGCAGGAAGTACTTCTACTATTTATTTGGTATCTTAGGCAACACCAATTGTGAACCTTGTTAGTTTCCTGTTGATGATTTACCATCCAGGCAGAGAATTGTAAAGGCAAATGAAGTGGGCGACGTATTGGATCACATTGCAGTAAGATCGAGAATTCTTGACAATTTAAATAAGAATTTAGATTGTACTTCTATTCCAGATAACGAAGGTTGTAACTGTAAGAACCTTTGTCTTCTAGATCTT